CGCGAGCGAGTATAGCAGCGAGTTAGCGAAGCTAACGCTAATAGCGGTCGCTATTAACACATCTTGATGATAATTAATTCCGCGCGCACACGAATGTCCCGAGGGATATGCCTTGCGTATCGCAATTTTGTTTACGAAATGGAAAAATTAGAACGCAATTTTTGTTTGGCGTGTACCACCGTTTTTTCGTTTTCGCATTAAAATCTCATATAACCGATTTAATATTAATTGGACGTATAATGCAACGTTACTTCTATAATCGAAAAATAACAAAAAAGCTTAAAATTTGAGAATAATGTTTTTGTAAAGAGATTAACAATGTTGATTTGTTTACAAAAACATCAATTCTAGTCTGTTTCGAGAGATTTTAAATAAAAGAAAATGTATGAAATATGCTGTTTTTCGGTATTACGTATATGATTTCGAAATGCAGACGGTTATCAATAATAGGGCGATGACAATAGAAGATAGAAATAAAAGTTGATTGTTCTCCATTATTTTGTGAAAAAAATAGTCTTATTATACTTGTACTGTACCCGTATTATACTGTATGACAAAATTTAGCATGTACGATATCGATTGAAATTCATGTAAACATATCAAAAATTTAAACAATTTAAAGCACCGATGTGACGGAATATAGCTTCAAAATAATCAATATTTGTTAATAGCCATGCAACGCATGTGGTATTGTAACGCAATAACCTTCCGCGCCGTAAATGCAGAATACATAGAACATGGAAAAGGAGGTCGGTTTAAAAGAAAAACTGCGCGCGCGGCCGTTGCGTTTATCGTGAATTTCTGTTATTTACATTTATTAACCGACTCGCTTGTGCTCGCACAAAGTCTACCGAATGCGATATGCAGAATGTCTTACCTTCTCTATTATGCACACGAGATTTATGATAGACCCTACGTCGACGTGATGCTCGTCACTTCCTAATATAAACGCCTCAGGTATTACTATATTTAGATTGACGAAGTGTGACAGTATCCCTGCACTTCTCGAGACCTGGAAAAGAAAAGATGTTGAAAATGTAATGTTGTTTTGCACAGTAAGGCGAACACGATAAATGAAAACACTGAAAATAAGAAGATAATTTTAAGGTATACATAAAAGAAAATTTAAAAGGATTTTAGAATTTATTATTCTGTATAATAAATTTATTAAAGGCAAAACTCAAAAATAAAATACCTAAATAGAATATGTTTATTTAAAATATGTTTATTTAAAAGGCTGGAAATAAAAGAAAAATAGAAGCAAATTCAAGTTATTATAATCCATTTTAGATGTAGAGGATGATATATATATATATAATATATATGTATATGTGTGTGTGTGTGTGTGTGTGTGTGTGTGTGTGTAAATTGTAATAAAAAATTTACAAAGATAAAATAAAAATATTTCTACCGACATATCGGAAAGTTGTGGCATGTAACTTGCACATTCATGGAAACATTCGCAACAAACACAAGAGAATATTCGTTTTAGCAAAATATTGCTAAATATCCAAAATATCTTTAACCAGTTATGATGGAATAAATGAATTGTACATAATTTAAAAAAATATTTGCTGAAATAAACATATTTACATATTTATTACAAATTAATGTAAAAGAAATGTTTGTTCGTTTCAATTTTTAAATAACAAATATTTTTGATAATTTACCACATTATTTTATACACTTTCGATCAGAGTCAAATATACCTATGCTTCAAAGTATGCAAACGCACAATACGAAGGTTGAGTGAGCATTAATTCAACGGGTTTCGAGTACATGGAAATCGGCTTATCGACAACTTTGTCCGAAAATGTTGTAACTCGAAATACCGGGTTTTTCAGTATAGTCCTTTAAATATTTCAACGTAAAACTGAGTGCTTTTCTGGCAGTTTCAATCTTTTTCAGCAAAAAGTCTTCAAATAAGTGAATATAGGATACATATAGAATATGAAATGCATATATCATTTTAATAAAAATTTTACACGTTCTGTTTACAATTTTATTGATAATTAAAAAATTGTCGATTTTCTCATTACAATCTCATGCCGCGATCCATATTTCGTGTAAAGTTATACATAAAATATATTATTTCAATATTACAAGTAATACGAAAAAACGATTAGAAGAAAAAAGGAGTATCATATTTTTTTCAAAAGTCTTTTCAAGATCCACATTGAAAGATAGGAAGAATTTCCTCGTCGTCTCGCGAAACGTGACTGAAATTATAATTTTAAATTAAAATGTTAATATCGTGTTGTGAAGACCCAATTTCCAAATTTTACTTCTCTCCCATACAACTTCGCTAAAATAACACGAACGGAATAATACTTCCATACCACGTTGCTCTCTCCCTTCCTGTATCCACTTCATCTTTTGGTGATATTCAGGAAACAATACACGGTCCTTTTTCAAGCGCGTCCGCTCGAAAAACCATCCCTCTATCCCGAGTACAGTCGGATGTTGCCGGATATATGTATGTCGTTTTAGTGCTCCCGAGATGCTGCAGCGTGCAGCTGCGGCAAACTCCGCGAGTCTCCGGGAAAGTTTGCCGCAGGACAATGGTCTCCGTAGGTAGGTAGATAGGTAGGTAGGTAGGTAGGTACACGTAGGTACACGTAGGTACACGTAGGTAGGTACGCCGCGCGCATAAAAAAGCATTATGCGAGTTTGAGAAGTGTATCGTTCCGCTGCCAACTTGGACAAGCGCCGGTATACCTTCGGTATACGCGCGCGAAACTTTCCTCTTCTTCTTCTTCTTCTTCCTCTCGCGACTCGCTGCGCGCCGGACTGTGCAATTCTTGAGGCGCATCTCTGCGCGTCGCATCGCTGCGCTTGTAACGGGCTTCGCGGTAAAAATGTCACCGCGAATAAATATACAGTCGGATGCTGGCTGATGG